TTAATTGGTCCTTCGAGCCGGATCCGTACTCGGGAAGCAGGGTTGGGCGATGGCAGTTTTGCAATTGTCAACCATCTTTCGTTTATTTTACTAACTCGGGCTATTCGTGGCTAAAGATCGAGACGACGGAGACATAATCTTTCCAATGATTCCATTTCCCCGTCGGGATAAAGGCCTAAAGACTTCATTATTGCATTCATAAGACATCCTAATCGGAATTGACCGATATTCACATACTGTCGAGTTTCAAATATACTTGATGCGGCGCCGGTCACAAGGCCGGACGCTTGTAAACATTCAAAGCATTAGAGATTTCAGTAAATACGCATGCGATGTCACCCCCCTCGAATTAAGTCTCACGATCTGAGCCATACGACAACACGTGATTCCCGTACCGTTGCTGCGTTCCGCGCATTGGTCGGATTTCACGAGCTTACCACATGCTACCGTTTGGTAGAGCATTGTCACTAACATATTGCATCAGATCTCGAGTCGCCGCACATTGCGCGCTCGGTGGTTTACATATTTACCATATCTGTGCTATATTATCCGATGTGCTATATTTTCTTTGTTCTGAATGACACTCTATATGCTATGTTCTAATGTGTTCTATTGTTCTCATATGAAAGTTTCCTTGATGTTTATTGATAACCTTTATTTGCTCACGTCATGCTCTAACGAGATCAAGAGTTTCCTTTAATTTTCTTATATATTAACAAAAAGAAGAGTTCTCATTATTTTCGTACGATTAATTCTTTGTAGTTCTACTGTTGCTGGTAATCCACACCATTTTTTATTCATTCCATTATCAATTATGTAATATATTCAAGTTGCGTTTGAACTATATCAATACTAATGATAACATTATCTTCTACCATTACTCGTTACTGATCACTTATTGCATACTGGACATCGCCTTGCTCAACGCATTTGCCTACACGCTAATTGCAGTAAACTCTTGGTCCGGCTATATGTGTATAATATATCTGTATTTTCTCATATGTGTGTATCTTATATATATGTTATCTATGTATACTGTATATGTATTTCGCCACCAACTCTCACAGGATTACACATTCTATTGAGCGAGCCAGGCTCGCAGCATAACTCGCATTCTCTATTAATCGCTTTAAAAGTAGAGGCCTACGGTGGCTGCGATTATCCACCGCCTTGTACACTTGCCCCAAGTCAAGATTCTATAAACTTCGGCACCAAACTCGACACCGATCAGGATGACCAACGTCGACGCTCGAATCTCGCTTCAAAGGAGTCGATTTACCTTGATCCAAGAAGCAGCTGATTTCAACGATGAAGACGTTCCGTCTCCAAACCGTCAGCTTATCAACACCCGATTGGCTTTATTGGAACAAAACTGGAACAGATTTCAAGAGGAACACGAAAGTCTCTGCCTTTCTGAGAGTGACGGTTTGAGCAGTCAGCCCTACGTCACGGAACGCCTTTACGAGCGTTGCCAAGCCTTTTACGTCTTCTCACGAGCGAAGCTACTCACCAGACAAGAGGAACTGGACAGCGTGAGTCAACCTTCCGGTTCGACACCTGCTGAGCAGACAACGGCCCGTCCATTGCTACCGCGCAGCGCATTACCAAGGATTAAGTTACCAAGCTTTTCTGGAGAATATCATTCCTGGAGAACGTTTCACGACTTGTTCAGCTCGATGATTAAACACAACACCGATTTGACAGAGGTAGAGAAGATGCATTATTTGAAGACGTGTCTGACCGGAGAGGCGGCAAAATTAATCAACAACCTATCGCTTGCGGGAGATAGCTTTGCAGTAGCTTGGAACCTGCTGGTCTCAAGATATGAAAACAAACGATTCTTAATCAACATACAACTCGACCGCATAATGAGCCTGAAACCTCTCAAGAATAAAAGCGCGAACGGACTCAGGACTTTTCTAACGACCATTCTGGAAGCCCTCGGTGCTCTAAGGGCTCTCGACTGTTCCGTACACCAATGGGACCCCCTACTGTTACATCAGTTTACAAGACTCTTGGACTCGGAAACACGCGAGGCATGGGAGGTAAAACTCGGTTCGTCCCCTACCTTTCCGACCTTCGCTCAGTTTGAGGAATTTCTGGATGGAAGAACAAGAGCGTTGGAGATTCTTCAACCTATCTCTGTAACGGGATCTAAAAGGGATCATCCCGGTAGTAACTCCCGCCGACCGCACGCAAGTATCGCTGCCCATTCCTCCACAACCCCGCCCCCTAAAGGATCGGGCGGTTGTCCGTTGTGTGGAGATTCGCATTACATAGCCAAATGTGACCGCTACCGGCCGAAGACACTCAAACAACGCCGAGACATCATCATTAAGCACCGAAGATGCTTCAACTGCCTTGGTCCGCACAATGTCAAGAATTGTAAATCCACAAAGCGTTGCCTGACCTGTGGCAAGAGGCATCACACATCCCTACACGAAGTAAAAGCCGAAACGGCTACGAAACCTCCGACGGACATCAAAGTTACGCCCAGCGAACAGCCAGCAACGAGCTGACAATTAAACCACGAGGCGGTCCAATCACACGACCTGGTTCCGACAGGATCCCCGCCTACGCTTCTTCGCGACCAAGTTCAGGAACAGCCGTGCGAACTCACCGATGCGTGTGCACATCATTCAGGACGGGCGCTTCCAACGGGAAATCTCACTCTGCTCGCTACGTGCCGAGCCTTACTGCAATCACATAACGGGAACTGTCGGATCGTCCGCCTCCTCGTCGACCAAGGATCCGAGCTGTCTTTCGTTACCGAAAATCTGGCACAGCGTCTAAACCTTCCTCGATTAGCTGCTTCCATCCCGCTTATCGGGATAGGGGGCAATCACTCGGGTCGTACCAAAGGAATGGTCACCTTACGTTTGAAATCTCTCTACGAGGATACTTCCGAATGTGAAGTTAATGCATATATATTACCTAAGTTAACCGCTAAACTACCCCCCTTTCGAATGAATAAACAAATATGGCCTCATGTCGCCGGACTACAGCTGGCAGATCCGGACTTTTCAACTCCGGGTCACATAGACATAATCATAGGGGCTGACAATTACGGTACTATAATACTACCTGGATTGCAACTAGGAGAAGGTTCCTCACCGATAGCACAACGAACCATATTTGGTTGGGTTCTTTCCGGACCAGTCTCCGCGGAAACATCTCACTCGGTACAGGCGCATCATTGTACTGCCGATCGAAACTTACAAGATCTCCTCGCCAGGTTTTGGACGCAAGAGGAATTCCCTACTTCGGTTACCTCCATTCGGACGGAAGACGAGGAAAAATGTGAACAGCATTTTTTATCCACACACACGCGGGATACCACAGGACGTTACGTGGTTCGCCTCCCCCTCAAGTCGGACCCCTCTGTTCTGGGAGAATCAAAACAAAGAGCGCTCGGATGCCTACAAGGACTCTTTCAACGATTTTCACGAAATCCTGCATTTCATCAGCTCTACGCGGACTTTATAAACGAATATAAACGCCTGGGTCATATGAAACTGGTCACCAGCGAAAAGGAACAAGCCACTATGGCATATTACTTACCTCACCATGGAGTGCTCAGAGAACATAGCAGCACCACCAAACTGAGAGTGGTATTCAACGGATCGAGTCTTACAACTCAGGGATTGTCGCTCAACGACATTCTTCATGCCGGTGCCAAATTACAGACCGACATTATTGACATTTTACTGTGGATTCGCACTCATCAATTCTTATTTTCAACCGACATCGAGAAAATGTTTAGGCAAATAGCCATTCATCCTGACGATTGGGATCTTCAAAGAATCTTGTGGAAAGGGCTGGACGGTCAACCAGAAATCTACCAGCTCACAACGTTAACGTACGGCCTAAATTGTGCGCCGTTCCTCGCATTACGCACGTTGCAGCAGCTCACCGAAGACGAAGGTTCTCGATTTCCTCACGCTATTACCCCCTTGACTAAAGGCCGGTATGTTGACGATATCTTCGGAGGAGCCGAATCCATTTCGGAAGCCAAGGTTATCACCGAGCAGTTAAGCAACATCTGCAAGGCGGGCGGATTTCCATTACAGAAATGGAACAGCAATTGTCCGGAGATTCTGCCTTACATTAATGAACACTCACATCTTACGGTTGAGATCGAACCAACTCTCCACAAAATCTTAGGCCTCATCTGGAGACCGGACTCGGACACATTTCACTTCTCCGTATCAACGACTACGGATACTACGCTCACCAAACGGAAAATCGCATCCGCTATCGCGAAGCTATACGACCCGCTAGGACTGATTTCACCCATCCTCGTATGTGCTAAAATCATTTTGCAGCAACTCTGGCTAACAAAGAGTGGATGGGACGATCCCACTTCTTCTGACCTACAGGACCAATGGACGCTCTTCCGACAACAGCTCTCGGAACTCGAGCAAGTTACTATACCAAGATGGCTTAAAGGTGTACGTTCCACCTCTCAGATAGAACTGCATGGATTCTCGGATGCCTCTCAACTCGCGATGGCAGCTGCCGTGTACGCGAGGATCCCTCAGGACGACGGCACGTTTTCTGTACAATTAGTGTGCTCTAAAACAAAGATAGCACCAATAAAACGCTCCACTATCCCTCGCTTAGAATTGGTCGCCGCACTATTATTGGCGCGTCTGATAAAAACAACAGTTCGGGCGTTGCAGCTTCCAGAATCATCCTTGTATTGTTGGTCGGATTCTTCTGTTGCGCTCACCTGGATCAACGCTCACCCGGCACGATGGAAGGACTTCGTCCACAACCGTGTGCTTGCGATTCAAGAAATCATCCCTAACGGCTCGTGGCATTTTGTATCTGGGAAAGAGAATCCTGCGGACTGCGCTTCAAGAGGCCTCAGACCGGATCAATTGATTAACCACCCCTTGTGGTGGCAGGGCCCCAGCTGGCTAAAGGAAGCAAAGGCATTCTGGCCTTCTGAAAACTGTCGACCAGAATCGGGTATCAATCTAGAAGAACGACCCGGGCAAGTCATGGTCGCGACCGCCCCGGCTCATTCCTACTGGAATCTATTGGATAAATATTCCTCCCTCACAAAGCTATTGCGAGTCACGGCCACCTGCCGTAGAGTCGCCGCAAGGCTCCAAAAATTGCCGCAATCATCACCGGTGCACTACCCCCTGACGCCGACTGAAATAACTCAAAGCCGCGACATATGGGTACGGCTAGTTCAACGGGAATGGTTCTCAAACGAGATTCGATATATTACAAAGGGAAATCCGTTACCAAAATCAAACCCACTGGTAAGGCTCACGCCCTTCCTGGACAGCGAGGGACTTTTACGAGTTGGAGGACGGTTGCACAATGCGGCACTCGATCCGGAAGCTAAACACCCCCTCATCTTACCAAGAAGATCACCGCTCACAATCCTCATAGTAGACGATGCACATCGCAGAACATTGCACGGAGGCACGCAAGTTACCCTAAATTGTATCCGAAACCAATTCTGGATCATCGGTGGAAGAGCACCTGTACGATCGCGCATATTGAAGTGCGTACGGTGCGCGCGCTATCGAGGTACTCGGGCACAGCAACTCATGGGGCAGCTGCCGTCCGTTCGAGTTACACCGGCGAGACCTTTTCAAAACTCTGGTCTAGATTATGCCGGACCCATTACATTAAAAACCTGGAAAGGGCGGGCGGCGCGCACCTATAAAGGCTACCTCGCCATTTTTATTTGCCTCGCGACCTCCGCGATACACATAGAAGTAGTTACGGACTACACCACTGCCGCCTTTATCGCCGCATTCAAGCGCTTCACCGGCCGGCGGGGCATCTGCAATACCCTACAGAGTGACTGCGGAACCAATTTCCTGGGAGCTGACGCTGAGCTGCGACGCCAGTTTGATTCTTCTTCCACCGAACTGAAAGAGCTAGCCTCTTTACTCGCTACAGACGGTACGGAGTGGAAATTTAATCCTCCGTCTTCGCCACACTTCGGCGGACTGTGGGAGGCCGCAGTCAAGTCCACAAAATACCACCTGAAACGGGTTCTGAGAGAAGCGGTGCTAACATACGAAGAAATGACGACTGTCACCATACAAATAGAAGCTGTCCTCAATTCAAGGCCGCTGTGTCCACTATCCGAAGACGTCAATGACTACTCCGCCTTAACTCCAGGGCATTTCTTGATCGGGGAACCTCCAGCTATTATCCCAGAACCAAATTTGGCAACGGAAATAACTTCGCGTCTTTCTCGCTGGCAACTTCTCAAGCAGAAGCTGGATCAGTTTTGGAACCGGTGGTCCTCGGAATGCCTGCAGCGATATCAGGCCATATCCAAGTGGCATCACCCCTCGCATGAAATTAAGGAGGGATCCTTGGTACTAATGGTGGATGAACGTTATCCGCCCGGAAAATGGCCCCTCGCGAGAATCACACAATTGCATCCAGGAGCCGACGGATTAATCAGAGTTGTCTCTTTACAGACTGCCTCCTCCAGTTACAAAAGACCGATAGCTAAAGTATGTATCCTGCCTGTGGACCCCGAGAGGGAATATTCGACGAATCACTTGTCGAAGGCGGGCGGAA